GAGAGAGGGGATTATCTACTTAGAAATTTAACGAGAGAAAGCAGATCAAATATTGAAAAAAATGCATAAATAGAAAAAACTGTAAGTTACTAGGAAAAATTAGGTTTAAATTCCAAAAAAAAAAAAATGAACGCCCCCCCCCCCTTTTAAAAATTTTTTCAAAACACCTTTTTTTTTGGAAAAAAAAGGCCCAAGCCCGGGGGGGAACCTGAAAAAAAAAAAAGGCGGGGGGGCGCAGCGGGGGTGGGCCAGGGCCCCCCCCAAGGCGAGGGGGGGGGGCAGGCGGGTCGCGGCCTTCCCGGCGGCCCAAGCCGACCATGCACACGCGCAAAAGCAGCGCCACCAACAGCAGCGGCCGCGCGCCGCGCTCGCCGGGCGCCAAGCGCCAACTCGTGCACGTGCGCAGCCACCACGCCCGCCAGCGCACGCCGCCCAGCGCCGGCGGGGCACGCCCTGCTGAGTACCGCCGTCACGCAGGCCGCCCTGCCAGCAACGCACAGCCCACTCACTCCCTCACTCATCACCACCCCGTGCGTAAAGCAGGGTGGCGGTGGGGCGGAGCCTCGGCGCGCCCACGCGCACGGACCGCCGCCCACGCAGCGCCGACCGCCGCCCGCCGCTTAGCGCCGCCGCAGGGGCGCCATGCAGCGCCCGCGCCCGCTCGGCGCCGCACGGCGCGCTTCAGCCTCGTCGGCGCGCACCAACAGCGGCGAGGCAGCAGCAGCGCGGCCACGGCCAGCCGCGCCGGCGCGCCCCCAGCACAGAGGTGGGCAGCAGGGGGGGCGTGGGCGCCCGTCCCCGCCCCTGCCCCCGCCCGCCCGCCCGCCCGCCGCGCAGCACCACGGCAGGGCGTGGGCGGCGCTGGGGGGCGTGCCGCTGGCGTGCGTGGTGGCTGCGCACGTGCACGAGTGGCGCTGGCGCGCGGAGGCGGCGGCGGCGCGGCCGCTGCTGTGGGTGGCGCTGCTGCGCGTGTGCATGTCGCTGGCCGCCGGAGCCGCGACGCTGCCCCTCGCCTGGGGGCCTGGCACGCTGCGCGCCTTCAGTCGCTGCTTCAGGTGATTAGGCGTCATGATACCTATTCTAGTACTACAGTTTTCTATTTATGCATTCAATATTTTATCTGCTTTCTCTCGTTAAAGTTTCTAGTAGATTAGTACGGAACGAATCGTAATCCACGAGTTCAGCGGCCGTCCGATATAGGCAGTCAACCCCATGTGCACCTCCAAGGCCGCAGTCATCCTAAAGCCCGCCTGGAAGGTCGCCGTCATTCCGATGCGGAATAGTCATAATAGAGCTTACGTTTTGTTTGTTTTGTAGAAAATAGCTTTTATTCTTTTAAAAATGTCCATTAGATGTTTATAATTGTTGAGATTATTTTCTCTCATTTTTGTTGAGCCGTAGAATGATGATGTAAAGAAAGACGCATAGTATTCATCTGCGGCAACAACAGAACCTCCAGCGATATGAAGTTCCCCTTTCACACTGATCACCGCTACGCATTGCACTCGCCCGGAAAGGCTTCTGCGAGTGTCCATTCCATCAAAAAAGCTCCATTCTTGTATATCTGTTTCATTGACAAGATGATAATTATGGTAACATTTAAAACTTCCGCTAATGTTGTGACGCCATCTAGTGCCTGAAGCTCTTTGTCTGAAGTCAGATACGATGCGCAATATCTCCCCCAGATCTTTTGACCACGTATGATAATTATGGTCATTGGCTACCTTTAAGGATGTGAAATGGAAGCCAACCTCTGCCCTTGATGTGGGTAATGATGTAGAATGCATCTGTTTCTTTTTTATGTTGTGGTGTTATGGACACTCATTTGTAGGAAAGGAAACACGTGATGTATTGATGCTTCTTCATTCCAAATCGTCTGCTGCAGGCGAGTGGAGCCGTGCAAGACTCCGCCCGCCAAGTGCTACCCGCACTCGGACGCCGGGGCCGGGGCCGGGGCCGGGGCCGGCCAGCTGCTGCCCGAACGCCACTCGAAGAACTACGCTCTGCACGCGCACCAGGGCAACGAGACCAGTGTGTAGCTCTGAGCCTTTGAACTACAGGACCCCACCTATTTCACTAGTGTTCTCAGTGAAGTGTTCCAAGACTTCATTTTCTCCCACGAAGTGTATTTATTGAAAACTAGTCATGTGTTATTGTATAAAAATAATCTGGAAAGTACTTTTAGTGATCTGATGGATTTGAAGTGAATAGAGGATTCTATTTGGGGTTAGTGCGTGTTGTTGAGACGTTGGGCAGAAACTTATGTTATTTGTTGGCTCCCCGTGAAACATTCTTGAACATAATTGTATTCAGTTGATTCACTTTGTAGCCAAAATCTTAAAAAGACTGAGCAAGCATTTAGAAAAGCAAGTAATATAGGATTCTTAACCAACAAGCATGAAGTTGCAATTGATAGAAGACACTGACTGTTTTTAAAGTGTACAGAGACATATGATTGTACCCAATGTGTGAAATAAGTAAAGTGAATGAGTAAAAGAACAAAATGTAGCAGAATGTTAAATAGAAATGTCTCTTATCCCTTCGTAGAGAAAGCGAATCGCTAGCGCGGTGGTGATGTAGAGGAAGTTAATGAAACTTCCTAGAGGGAAACGTCCTAAAGGGAATTTTATCTTCAGTGGCAGCTGGAATGGAGTTATTAAAATGCTGTAATAGTTCAAGTTCTAGCGGCAGTATGTCGATTTCTTCACGAAGAGCACGCGGAGGGATAATAGTCCAAATATGAGCTGATTTGCCTTTGCTGTAATTTTTATTATATGGGAGTGATTTTTTTTAAATTCTTGCCGAAAAACGCTCATTTTCGCATGTATTCATAACTCAACTTGTATATTAGTTAGGGTAGGGATCCCAAAACTCAAGAAAACGTTCAAACAATACTCTTCTCCCCATAGTCGTAGAGTTTTCAAGTCTTTTCGACGAGATACGAATAAATCAATCACGGAGAACGAGAATGCGGACGCGCGAACGGAATGGCGCCTTTGAACCGTTCAGGGTGCTGATGACGCTTCGGTTCAGCGTGTCCCTTTTGGAAGCAATTTGAATCTTCTTCGAGCATTATTCTAACGTATTTTATGCCCAAATATTTAGCTGTCGAAGAGTTCGTTTCGAAAACAGGGAAAAGGAATTAACAGAAGTTAATGCAGAATACGTAGACACAGCACAAATACAAACTTTCCCTGATATTTCAAGAATAAATTTAAAAAGTGTTCCATACAATCTTGTATGTCAAAAGTGATCACTGATCAAGTGATTAATATCAATTATAAAATAAATAGTGAATCCAGTCAGAAACTTGAAGTTTTTATTAATAGACGCTTTAATTTTTGTGTGAGATACTTTTCAGTATACAACTTTTCGGCAACTATTTAGGGTTAATACTTCACGACAAATGAAAATGAGAATTCAATTTTTCGGTATCGAGGATCCACAAATCATGGCTTCTGGCTACACCACGTATTGGAGGATTTTTTTCTATATTTAGCATGTGGATATATCCAATTTTTTGTTACCAGACAATAAAAGCCCATTCACAATGCAAACGTAAACATAAGCATAACGCATAGCCATAAACATTAACATAAGTGATAGATTGAAGTATCCACAATGCCTCACATAAACGTGAGCGAAATAAGAGTTTCTATTGGCTGTGGGACAATCTAGTTTACTATTGGTTCGATGTAAGAATCGATTTCGAGGTGTGTCCATGGTCCATATGGCGTTAGTTCGTCTATCGATTTCGTTCCTTTTTCGATTGTCGATTTTGAGTTAACACTACGATTGGTTCATTTCTAATATCTTACTTAAGCATAAGCATGGAAACTTGCAAACTTTTAAGCTAACGTCCTACGTGTTATGTTTATGCGAACGCATAATGAATGAGCCCGTTTATGGACGTAGTCCTAACTTTGATGTTGACGCCATGCTTATGTTAATGTTTGCATTGTGAGTGGGTCTTAAAGTGTTTTTCTGCCGAAAATTCGCCGTTTCCGGCGCATGACTACATAACTTACTCTTCAGCAAAGTTTCTTCGTAAGGGTGAAAAATTATAAATTTCAAAGAATTATTTTTAAAAAAAGGCACATCTTTTTTAAAAGACGGTGAATATTTTCTTTAAATTTTCTCCTCGTGTGCACCATAGAACAAATACATGTTCGTCTTATGTGGGCGAATTCTCTGTATTTTCGAAAATTATTATAAGTTATTTTTTTATTAATTTTGCCGCTGTACCTCTTGATTCCGTGATTCAACCAAACCAATCGCAGGTTTCGGAGTCAAAGGGATTCGTTCTTGGTCCTCAACGATTTGGATCCCGAAGCCCGAAAATTTTCAGTTCTCGCTCTGAAGCACACGACCTTGGCGCCAGACATGGAGGAGGAATATTTGTACTTTTTGGTGTCAGACCATGGCCAGAATAAGTTTTCATCAGTTTCATTTCGAGCTTGCGATACGGTGGAAAGTGATATATCAAGTTTTTAATTTTAAAAGGTAAGCGCAGTGACGTAGGCTCAAGGCATGCCAGTGATATGTTATATCCCCTACTTTTCCATCACTTTAAAATATCTTTATTAAAGTATTTTACTTTCTTCCGTAAGTATCTGTGTTTATTTTCTCTCGCCATTTATGTGCCCGAGGCCATTGCACCCGTGCTCTGTGAGGAAGCTATGTGGTTTCGACTGCCGGATATGTGACATTGCGTCTCACATCACGGGTGAACTTCCAATTGCATTCAATCACTCCCCTAGGAACACAGTTCCCCCACCCGCAAAATGCCTGGCGGTGACGTCACGGCTCGGCGTTTGCTATTGGCCAGCCAAGGCTAGCATCGACGTTACTCTTTGCCAAGCACGCGCGTCGTGAGACTACTTCGTGTTTTTCAAGTTGAAGGTGGGAATTCAAATCGAAATATGTAAGTTTATCTTGGAACGCCCTTTTGAATGTAGTAAACAAAAGACCATACTTGAAATCAAATAATTTGGTTTTTCCTTCCAATGTGTAATGACCAATTACTATCAGTATACTTTTGGACGTAAGTATTATAATAATTCCGGATATGATGAACAGGCATTGGTTAGTTTGTTTTGGCATTAAACTCGGTATTTCTATAAGAGTATTTACTACCACGAGTGTGATTGCATTATAATAATATTTTGCAATAATAGTCTAGAATAATTTAATTTGTAAATCAATAGACTGGATTAGAGAAATGGGCATCAAAATGACTATTGAAGTAGCAGGTGTAGATGTAAACACAATGAAAGGGAACATAAAAATCGTAGGCATTTATAGATCCCCAAATTCGAGCGTTAATTACTTTCTACTCTGGTTGGAAGAACTTTTAACTAAACTTATAGGAAATGACAATTGTAAGTTAATTATTTTGAGATATCTGAACATTAATATTGAACATAATGAACTACATGATTTACGAAAGAGCTTCAATCTACATGATGTAGAAATAGGGCCAACACATATTACAACCCATTCCAGCTCTACCTTAGACCATATCATTACAAACATTGAAATGTATAAATACTCTTCTCATAATATTGATTTTCATCTATCTGATCACACTGCACAAATCATTGAAATAATCATTGCTCCATTAGCTTTGAACTACCTAAAAGACATTCACCTGTGACACAAGTGATACTAAACTACATTTGTTAACCATCTCCTAAAAGAGGAATGGACTGAAGTACACAATAGTAGCGATATCAATCAGAAATAGAACTTATTCCTGAGTACATTAAATCGTTACTTGAATATTGTATGCCCCATTATTAAGAGGCAAATTAATGTAGAAAAAAAAAAAACAACTTCCAAATGAAATTATTATTCTTAGAAATAAAATAAAAGACATGTATGACCTGTTAACAACTCAACAAATAAATTTAAAGATTATGGAATATAATTAACTATGGGAAAACTCAGTCTCACAAAAACATACACCTACTACATGAAGGCATGTTTCTTGATAAACCTTCTAATTTTTGTAGGACCTTTAACTGTCATTTCTTAAATTCAAAGCAGGACATTGCAACCAATGATACTATTAATTCCTTGTCTTCTGGAACTTCAAAATCCATGTTTCTCCATCACACAAATGCTACTGAAGTTAATCGATTGATAAATTCCTTCAAAAATAGTTGCTCTACTGGGAATGAAGAAATATCTTCAATAATTCTTTAAAAAATGTAAGCCTACCCTTCTTAATATACTAGTTTACTGAATCAATTCATCTCTAGCTGCATGCACTTTCCCAGAATCCCTAAAAATTAGCATTGTAAGACCACTTGCTAAGAAGAATAATACACAAGATGTTGGGAATTACCGACCTATAACTCCAACTACTGTATTTGGCTAACGCTATGAAAAAGTTAGGCTGAAGTCTAGTATACGATATAACTTAAGGACGTTGTTTAAACAGGCAGTTCGCGCCACTCATAAACGGCGAGCGGGAAATCCGTGGTGGAGGGGCGAAGGGTGTTGTGAGGGGAAGCTTTCGGTGGAGAGGGGCGATGAGCAATAGGCGTAACTTAGTACATACATATAAAAAGCAAAGGTGCGCGCGCGGTAGTCTCGCCGGCGAAAAATGGTAAAAAAATACACTTCTGAAATAATTTTAATGGCTCGTAATTTGTCACGAACTTGACGTCAAAAGTTAGTGGTTGGGGGAAATTTCACCCTAATACCTTGTTGACACTTCATTACGAAATGGTGTGAGGTGGGACGTAAATCGTGTGTCTACGTGATTTTATGTTGGGTAGCTGTCGTACAAGCAAGTTTCTTGCGTTCTTCAGATTCTTTGCAAATTGTGTTTTTGTGTCGAATGTCTGTGCTACGAAGGTGAGAAATGTGTTGTTTTTTATTCGCATTGTGCCAAAGGGTGTGTTTGGGTTTCATTGAATTGGCGCAAGAACGAAGTGTGCTGTGTGTAAGTGACATATGAGGTTGGCTAAGCGAAAGGAGTCGTGTGATGGTTTCGAGTGGACGTGTAGCAAGAAAGGGGCCACTCCTCATGTGCGGAAGGGGCCATGGTTTGCGGGGAGCAAGTTGAGTATAATTCAGGTATTAGTAATGACTTACCATTGGGTTATAAAATTGTCAGTCAAACCGCGATAAAAATCGCCTAAGTTTCATTCATTTCTGTCAGAGCGCTTAGCGTTCAATTTGAGGGAGATCTAGAAAAGACCCCTCCTCCCCCTTCCCCCCACACCACGCTTCTCTAAGGGTGTACCGTGTACCCTACTTTAATCAAAAGTTATATTAACAAGACTTGTTTTCTTGAATCTAATAATATCCTTAATAAAGCACAACATGGCTTCAGGAAGGGCTTCTCCACTACCGCTGTCGTAGAGTTCATACATGAAATCATTGGAAATTTGAAATCAAATAGAAAAAAAAAGGTTTATTCATGGATCTTTGAAAGGCATTTGATAGTGTATCACATGAGAAACTGTTGGGGTAGAGTCAATGACCTCATTAGATCATACCTCACACAACATATGCAATGTACAGATATATTCTGGCAATCTGAAAATTTATTATCCAAAGTTAAATCAAAT